GTGCGGGTTTCCTATGAAAAAAAAAAGAAAGAGTAGACGAGATATTATGATAGTAAATGGCTTTTTGCACAGTACATCAAAACATATTAAATTATTTATTTAGGTATCATATCATCATCATAGCACATACACAGTAAATCGTTGTTAATTTTGCTTTTTTCATTAGTTATTGTAGTTATTAAAATTTTGAAAACTTTTTCCAAACCTTCCTGGAACCCTTACAAGTTATTCGCGGAACACAGTTTAAGAAATGCTGGTTTAATAAGTATTCGCGATTTTGTCCATATTACAATCTAATGTATTATAACAAATTATTTTAACTTGGAAGTTCATCGAGTTCACCTATTAATAATTCATAAAAAAAAAAAAAAACAATACATTTAATTTATTTTAAAAATAAGTTAAAATATAGGTATTTTTTATTTGAAATAATATCCTGCTTGATTGTTTGTAAGTTTTTATTTTTAACATATACCTACTAACAAAGTAATCCAATATAAAATTATGTTTGATATTTCATGCATGAATACACACATTTTTTATACTCTATAGTTCTCAGTTTTCTAGTCATCCACTATCCACCTGTGTCGTTGTGTATCAGATTACTTAAGACAATAATAGTTTTTTTATTCTAAACTTTGAAAGGTATTTAAAAATATCAAAACTAGTATTTACAAACAAAGAGATTAAGAACTATAATGTAAAAAAGTGTATTATGATATACATTTTACGTATTAGACAATATTAAAATATTATAGGTAAATATGCCATTTTAAGTTTCTTTAAATAATATAAAATAACCTTATACTTATTAGATGTTTAGATTATAATTCAATCCTTGTTAAAAGTAATAATATTAAAACATAACAAATACAATAGGTAGGTGACAGGTGTAGTGGCGTCCGTTTGGGGGAGGTTTATTTTTTCTCACGACTGTACACATTAATAGTATAAAATATTAATATACATCAATTTTTAACTTCAAAGGTGGTTTCTGGAAACAAATTGGATCTCATTAGTACTTTTGGGGATCAAAAATTAACATTTCTGGTTATCTTCAAAATAATAAGGAAAAACTAAATAAAATTAGAAAAAAACGGGAAATATATCAAACAAAATTCGTCTTAAAAATTATAAAAATGTAGTAAATATTTTCCAATTTATAGCTAAAGTTTGAAAATAAATACAAGGTTACTTCATACTTGTAATTAGGTATTACTGAAACCCAAAAATCAAAATTATCACAGTGTCACAATTTTTCTTTTTTAATTTAATTTTCGACAAAAATGGAAATTATTTAAACAAAGAATAACGATTTTAGTAACTATCACTCAGTATTTTATTATTATTTAACTGTTATTAAAAGTTATTATTCGTGGGTATTTTAAATTGTAACATAAATTATTAAATTTTAAAAAATATACAAAGACATTTTTAAAATATTTTGGATTTGATACAGGATATTTCTTTGTCTTTGTCAAACGCACGTGGAATATAGGGATTTAGACATGTTCTTTATCAAATGTACCAATATTGTAATAAGTAATAATTTTTAAAACAGATTTAAACTTGTCTCCAAGTTTACTCGATGTCGATTGTCGACTTTCACACATTTTTAATTGTATTACCTTAAATCCTAAAAAAATTATATAAAAATAATATAAATTAAAAATTTTTCATATTTTAATTTTTTGAAGAGTTATACTACAATCAAACAATCAAAAATGTGGGTAAGTAAATTTAACGAAAAATTCAAATTTTTTTTCATAACTCTTATCATTTTACTAGATCAATCGGTACAATTGGTAAAGAACTTATCTCAATTTTGAAGTTTCGTGTGTGTTAAAAAAATACAAAAATAGTTAAGGTATAGTCTATACTCTTACTCTATTGGCTATTTGTAATACGAAGCCATGAACGTATTTATAAGTAATATCATTCGAGGGATTATAAACTTTGCCAGTATTTAGGCTTCCCCTATTATATACGTTGATATCATTACAATGACATACATCGAAATTAGCTGCAATAACAAAAATTACAATGTATTTATTAAAACTGTTGGAACGAAGCAACATAATATAACTTAAAAAAATTCATCAAGTGATACTCACATTACTTCATACCATCCAATTTCTTTGTATTAACTCTACACATCAGTTAGGTACCTGATTTTCAATTTTGGCGTAGTTAACATGGACTTCATTTTAACTGTTTTTTCCTAACGAAATTAACACTAAAAAAAATGTGTTTGTAGTAGAGTTTACATGCACCCCACTATTCTATGGTAAGTCAACGTGTATTGGGTTAAAGTTAATTACAATAATATTATATGCTTTAATAATAATTGGTATAAAATGCTGTTTTTGGAAAAAATAATTCTGCCTACGGTTATTCAAAGTATTACAGATAAACAATAGAAAAATAAATTATCATAATTTTTATATAAAAAAAAATAAAAAAAATACTTATTTATAATAATAATGTAATGTAGGCTGACAAATGACACGCTCTCTGATCAAAATCTTTTTTCGTACGCAATTATTATCATTGAATTAAGTTATCCATTAGGTACAATACTCAATGACGTCAAGGTACACTCAATACACCTACTATGCACATTAGTCTATAGAGTACATATTATATGTACTATACGTTATACATAATATTATTGTTCTACTGGCTACCTATACTTGCTTACTTTTTATAAATATGGTTTTTTTTTCTATTCTAAATAGTTTACATGAATGCAAAATTTTAATGTCGTGGCTCATAGAAGGAAAAAAATTCTTACAGGTTATACGTTTGGCCTTTAAATAATGATTTTTTAGTTTTACGCTAAATATAAACGTATTGATAAAATAAACAATTATCACATACCTATTCATTGTGAGACTAAATAAATGAATAAGTTTTAAAAAAAAAAAAACTTCTTACAAGGTTCTTAAATTTGAAATAATAGTAAATAGACTTATTAACAAAAATATTTTACAGTTAAAAATCAAACACATTTTCAAGGGAAATCATCTTTATTTTATTAATCATAGCAAAATAAAATTAATTTTGCAATAAAAATGTACCTATTTATTTTGAGTAATAAAGCAACTTAAATTGTTATATGATGTTAAGTGGAACTAGATAAGATATTGATTTTACAAATTTACAATGATGTGTGTGTGTGTGTTTTTTTAAAGTATTTATACACGAAAAGTAGTTGAAAAATACATTAATATTTAACTTTGAGAACAACTTCTGGCAGAAAATTACATTTAGTTTGTACTTTGAAGAGGTTAAAATTAAAAATTCCTCCGTAATTTTTAAAACAACTGGAAAAACAAACAATAAGCATTACAGAAAAATAGAAACTTTTACACAAAACTAAATTTTGATAAAATCTTTCTTTTTTTTTTGTAACTTGAAAACAAATAATCATAGACAATTGACATTTTCAGCAAATAAATACATTAGTTAAAATTTCAAAAATATTTAGTTATAAAATTTTTTATAAACGCTTTAATTTAAAATGTTGACAAAATTCGTAACATTTGGTTGTAAATTAATATAATATTCTTCATAATTTGTTCAATTTATAATAAAAAATAGTTCACAGTAAAGTCAAATTAATTTTTATTTGTTTAAAGTAAAATTTTTGCTTACATTAGATAATTTATTTGTAGAAATTAACCAATTTTCTTCATCGGTTTTTGATATTTTCTTATACCTTTTGAACAAATAACCTTAGGTAATTGCATTTTACAGTAAATGTTTTTACGTATTATCACATTTATTTTACAATTTCCTTTTTTGAAGCTATATACTTTTGAATTTTTTTTTTTTATAAATGCTGATAAAAATTGTTTTGCTCAGTTAAGAAGTTTGAAAATGTAATACAAGAACTTAAGAAAATTAGTCTTAAGACTAATCTATAATTATAGATATATAAAAATATTTAAAATGTATAGGCTCAACTTATTTTTGAAAACATTAGAAGTTCAAATTTGAACGAATTTCATACTTGAGCTCCGAATAACGCGATAATAGAATTTTCAAAACAATTATTAGACAAAGGTGTCGCTTTCCAAACTACATAGGTATTAATGTTCTGTATATTATTATGTAAACCATCAGTTAATGTTAATTAATAATTATTAATCATAGTGAACGACTCCAGTCAGTTTTATAGATTATTACCAATCATGGAAAAATATTGTAAGCATCGAGATTGTTAAACAATATTATTTTTTTATTTCGGTTATTGTAAATCGTTGTTTTAATGATTGCGCGCTTAAAGTTCAAAAGGAGAATCATTTAATTTTTTAATAAACATTATAATATGAAGGAATTTTAATAATTAAATGTTTGAAAAAACCAAAATAAATATTGTTTGTTTTAATTTTCTTAGCAATAAACACGTACTTATAGGTACCTAATCATACTCCTGCTTGAGTAATAAAAATATTATTTTTACGCGTCATATAATTATTATTTTACCTATGCTTAAATGCTACGTTGTAGTAAACACTAAAGTTTAGTAGATATACTTGAAACATGAGTGTTTGATATTATTGGTAGATATCAAGAAAATGAAAATAATTGGTCGGCTATTACTCATAACTCATAAGTTTTGACTTGTAACGAGTGACGAGGTCTTCAAAAATGTGACATAATAAATAAAAACAAAATACGAATTGTGTGGATTCGAATCATTTACATAATTATTTTTTTTTTTTTTTGTATGTACGTCAGTATGTGAGTGTGTGTGCGGCGCGTGAAGACCCGTTCGCTTTTGGACTTTCGGAGACGGCGACATAAAACGTATCGTTATCACGAGCGGCAGACGATTTTGAGAACCAATTGTGCGGAGTGACGTCAAAAGGCCTCTAGTAGCGTTATCTCTTGATGTCCAATCAAACGGTGGATATCACATCCTCCAACACACACACAAACGCGCACACACGTATTCACGCACACGCACACGCACGCACGCACACACACACACACACACACTTCGGGCACATACCCACACGTCATACCTACCCACTGGCAACCACTCGCTCGTACACGCTCGCACACGTACCCATTCCCATACGTACGAGAGCACACACGGAGTAGCGCGCGTGCGCACGCACACACACACGACAAACAGGCTCGCGGCACACACAGTACGCGCACGCACACACGTACACACGCACACGTTCACGGACGCGCAAATTGGCTTTTGAGCAGCTTACGGCTTGTGCGCTGCGAGCTTTTCGTCGTACTGTCTTTACCAAGTGAGTCCCAACTGTTGTTCTGGCGCGACGGTTGACGGCGTCGATTCTGCGTCACGTACCGCGTTCCAAAACGTACTAAATTCTCCTAACGGTATGCGTTGACTTGCCCACAGGGTGCCGTGGATATTATGTCATCCGACAATGCTGTCGGCGGTGGCCAGTCGAACCCGGAGATGGTCAGGGGACAAATATTTGACGTCGGTCCTAGGTACACAAATCTGTCGTACATCGGCGAGGGAGCTTACGGGATGGTCGTGTAAGTACAAGTCGATTTTTAAAGCGCCCGTCAAAAAACACCTGCCTACTACCTGTCCTGTTTAAATTTCGAGTTGTACGCATATTATTATATCGGCGTTTACACGTCAGATGTCTTTTTTAATATTTACGTATTTGCATTGCACCTGATTGATTCGAATTTAGAATTTACCATTAATTTACTTAAGCCATTTGATAAGAAGATTGTCAGACAATATTATGTATTATTGTTATTATTGTTATTATTGTTTATTTATTTAGGTACTTTATACTTTTTAGTTACATTCATAGTTAAAAATAATTTTTAACTCAATACTAAAAAAAAGTATTCCCTATTACTATCTACTTATTTATTTTTCTCTCCTCTCGCAAAAAAAGTTCGTTTAATAAATAATTACTAAACATTTCCAAATGGGTAAAGCACTTTTAAGTATAATATATTAGTCATAATAGAGTTGGGTATTTTCTACTTTTCTATAGAATTTTGTTTTTTTTGTTTATGAAACATTAAAATAACATTAAGTTACTATTTTATAGATACTATCAAGCTAGGTTTTAGACTTAATATTTACATTGTTTCTAATTATTTATTGAAAGAGTTGTATAGCTATTAGTTAAAAATACAAAATATTTTTGTCATTTAAAATTTTTTATTCTTGAATATTGATGAAAGTAAATGTATGTCAAATATTATATTAACTTTAAATTTACTACATTACTGATTAATAACTATTAAAACTTTTTATTAAAATTTAAAATGATAAATACCTATGTATATAAATTATAGGATAATACCATGATTTGAAAGCTTATATTAATATTTTGTGTTAATAATAAATCATAAAACATTAAGTAGCAACTTTAATAATTTTATGTGACATATTTTAAAATATGAATACCTTTAGTATTTATAATCATCTGATAATTCTGATAATATTTTTCATTGATTTGAACTATTTTTGATTAAATCCATTTAGTTTTTTTTTATTTTTCTTAGGAATGTCTGAAGTAAGTATCTAATATTTTAGTTCTTAAAGGAATAAAATAATTTTGGTATATAAATACATTGTCTTGATTTTTATACTTAAAATAAATGTTTCAAAATAACATTCATAAATAATTTTATTTAAATACCTAATTTAATTTGAATTTTTGAGCTTCAAGAATCATATGTTTGTTCTATGTATATTGTATTGTTTCTAAGATCATTAATATTACAAAATCATATTGATAAGAATATGTTCATGTAATTTTTCTATTATTCAATATTCAGTATACTTACATATTTTGTGTGGATATTTAAATATTGAAAAATTCAAAAATATTTCCTTTATATGATATTATGAGTACATAATTTAAATATAAAATTATAATAATAATAAAGTTTAATATAACTAAAAATAAAATACTATGAACATTATTTTATTTGGTAAACCTTATCATAGTGGTTTCACGGTTTTATAATTTTCTAAAATAAAAATTAATGGTTAATAATAGAAAATTAAGTTTAAAAAGTCCTTTGTTTAAGTAAACAATTCTCAATATTTTTCAAAATAATTTTGGAGATAAAAACAATACAAAATATACTCAACCTACCAGTTTTTGACAAAATATATTTTAGCTGCAATTCAAAAATTAATAATTGGCATTAAAAGTTTCACCTAATATTTATATTAACATTTTGTAGTATGACATCATTTTAAACATAGTCTTTGCTCAAAATTGTTTTTTAAGCAATAATTTATTATTATTTTATTAAAATTTGATACATTTTACAATGACTCACTTTATATCTATACTAAAAAGCAACTGTTTTTTTTATTTATCATAATCTAATTTTATAACTAAGATGATTCATCGAGAAAGCTTAGTAAACAAATTATCTGTAATCTTATGATAATCCCTTAATGCATTGGTGCTTTTAGTTCCTATAATATACATTTTATATGCCTATTTTAGTTAGTATAGTAAGAATTAAATCCATATTTTTATTTTTTATTATTGTTGACATATCTATCTACAATATTAGTTCAAAAGATTAAACTTACTTTCTTTTTTTTAAAACTAATATATTTAACTTTTCAATAATTTTTTGGTATATTAATTTTGATGAAAAATAAAAAAACTGGACCTTTTCTGTTAGTTCACTACCACTGTATTTTTTGGTTCTCTTCACTAATTTTCTTTCATATTATTTATCACTGTTAACGGAATCATACTTAATTAAACATTAAAGTATCTCTAAATTTTTAAATTGCAAAAATGAGCAAATAAGCTGAATATTTCAAGTCAATAATGAAAATATCAATTTTGAATAGTGAAATATTTTGTTTTTATTATCATTATTTTCTTTATTAACATTATTTTTTTAAGTTCAATTGCAGTTAAATTGTTATTGAATTATTATTGAAATATTAAAATTTATGATTATAACTATTGTTTGTATTTACTAAAAATATCTTAATATAGTATAATTTTAAATTTATTTATTTATTTTTACAGGTCGGCTTTTGACAATGAGACAAATTGTAAAGTAGCCATAAAAAAAATCTCACCATTTGAACATCAAACTTATTGTCAACGAACATTGCGAGAAATTAAAATATTAACTCGATTTAAACATGAAAATGTTAGTATAATAAAATACATATTTAGAATATCAATAATTTAAATATTATCATTACTCATTTGTTTATATTTATAGATAATTGATATAAGAAATATCTTGCGAGCGGAAACCATTGAACAAATGAAAGATGTATACATTGTTCAATGCTTGATGGAGACTGATTTGTATAAGCTTTTAAAAACTCAGGTGAATTGAAATTATTCATGTTTATGATAGTATTTGTTTTATTACAGAAAGTAAAATTATATTATTGTTAAAAAAAAAAAATCTATCCCTTTATTCTACAAGAAAAAATATTTTATGATTATTATTTATCTTCTTCTTTGATGTATTACAGAGACTGAGCAATGATCATATTTGTTATTTCCTTTATCAAATTCTTCGAGGGCTTAAATATATACATTCAGCAAATGTCCTCCATCGTGATCTCAAACCTAGCAATCTGCTTCTCAACACAACGTGTGATCTCAAAGTACATATGGTTTATTTTAAATATTAATTGAATAATCTGAAAATGTTTTTTATTATATTATTTCATGATTTTTAATGCATTGTTTAAAATTATTGTATTTTAAGTTTTTTGAGTTAATGTATACAACTATTTATTCTAGATATGTGATTTTGGTCTTGCAAGAGTTGCAGATCCTGATCATGATCACACTGGATTTCTTACAGAATATGTAGCCACAAGGTGGTATCGTGCTCCTGAAATTATGTTGAATTCAAAAGTAAAAATTTATTTTAATTAATAAAAAATAAATAATAAAGCAATTATTTAATTATTAATCATTTTCTAGGGTTATACAAAATCAATTGATATGTGGTCAGTTGGTTGTATTTTAGCTGAAATGCTTTCTAACAGACCAATATTTCCTGGTAAACATTATTTAGACCAGTTAAATCATATATTGGGAATACTTGGTTCACCAACCGCAGTAGATTTGTTGTGTATTATTAATGATAAAGTATGTAATTAACTTTCAAATGTTGTTAAATTCTTAAATAATTGATGAAATTATGTTTTTTTATAGGCTCGGAGTTATTTACAATCATTACCCTTCAAACCAAAAATAGCATTTTCAAAACTTTATCCAACAGCTGATCCAAAAGCTTTGGACTTGCTAGATAAAATGCTGACATTCAACCCTCATAATAGAATTACAGTTGAAGAGGCTCTGGCACATCCGTATCTTGAACAGTATTATGACCCTGCTGATGAGGTATGACACATTTATTTATATTTATTTATTTATTTATTTATTTATTGAATAAACGGGCGTGAGCCCAGGTTAAATAATTAGGTGTACAATACAATCAAACAATAACATAACATGAATAATAACAAAGTATAAGCCTTAAAAATTAAACTCTTAAAACTATTATGTTCTTTGTTAAAATGAATCCTAATATATCAATGGCTTGGTAGATAAGTAGTGAAACCTCATAAGTTGTAATTAAAATTTTTTCTGACTAACTGGCAAACTATTAAGTAATTAATTTTTTCTTTTCCATTGTATCTATCTTTTTTGATGTCATATCTATTTTCTTATGGCGTAGCAAATTTATAAAAGAATTTATTATTTTAATTTTAATACAATAATAATCATAATAGTTGACCTGGTGTGGCGTGGTGGTTGGCCTCGGTCACTAATTTGTTTTGAGGTCAAGCATCGCTAACTCTCGGTTGGGTGACCACCTGAGTTCTTAGTGATGAATCCATTGTACACACACATAACCTACGTGTTCTAACACTACTAACCAAAACCTTACATAAAAATATCTACTGTTCTTATGCACATCTATTGGCTTTAGTTGCCGGGCTTAAAATAAGATCAATAAAAAAAAAAAAATCATAATAGTTTCTAACAATTTTTTAATACCAATATTATAAAAATAAACTGTTAACAATTTTTATGATGATAGTCACAATTTATAAAAGGTTGAGAACTGCTGCTCATAGTAATTATGAAAATGTATTAAATCATTTGCACTTTTTACAGCCTGTTGCAGAAGAACCATTTAGATTCGCTACAGAGTTAGATGATTTACCCAGAGAAACTTTAAAACAAATGATCTTTGCGGAAACTGTGAATTTCAAACAAAATGTGTAAGCAAAATATAGACACTGATTTTAATTTTTTACAGTGCTTAAACTCTTATTCTTCTACAATTTGAACTTATATTGCATTTCAATGTTTAAAACATTTCTCGCTTCTTTACAATTCTTTATAATCTATAATCTATAATCCTATTTTGAGTCTAAAATATTCATCTTAATATTAAGTACGACTTATTATGTAGTTAAATTGTATGTATGTATTATTATTATAAATTTAATATTTAATTTATATTATTTGATTTTAATCAAATTTGTTGTTACATAATCAGATATTAGTCTTATAAAGTATTTGCCCCAAAGTATATTTTCCTTTTGAGTGACAAAAATTAAAAATTGTTAGTTTTGAAATATTTAATATTACTAATGTGATCGTTTAAAGCCAATTACTGCATTATGGTAAAAAAATATTTAGCTAGAATTTAAATAGTGTATATTTTGTTTGTTCCCATCCGGCCATTTTCCCCATTCCCTGTCATTTGTGATAATATTCATGGTACTTATACAGTATATTTATTAATATTCTATTAGATGTTGTTTAGAAATTAAATAAATGTAAACATCACGGGATGTAAAATTGTGTTGTTAGTTAAATTAAGAAGTAAATGATTAAAACATATTGATATTATACAGATTTTAAAGTTTAAATTTCAATATATTCTTTAATTGTTTCACAAAAAAAAAAAAAAAAATTGTGCTATCAATTTATTACCATAAGTGACCTATTTTTGAAAATAAAGTCGATTAAACATTCAATAAAGTTCAATTGAGTGATGACGTTCCTTTGAAACTAATTTGTAAATAATTTTTGCTATTGTCTAATATTTAAGTATATTTATTTTTATTAATTCAATATATCTTTCAAGCTTAATACTTGTAAATTATTAAAATACTTGACAGTTTTCACGTATCTATTAGTTTTGCTCATTATAAACAATATGATTGTTATTTAATAACAAAATTTATCGTATTTTTTAAAGAATATTCTTATAAATTGCAATTCAATTTTGAAAATGAAATATTCAGTAAGATATGTGATGGTATAATTATTTGTTATGTATCACAACTAAAAATTATTCAGTCAAGAGAACAAAATTATAATATCTCAATATTTATTATATACAGGAAATTACAGAAGGAATTAACAGATATAATTTACTAATTATGTAATGAATTTTATTATTATCAATTTTTTTTCAAGGAAGTTATTTTAATTTGAGTATATGGTAAAATAGTTGTTAATTATTAAAAAAAAAAAAAAATTAATATTGATTAGAACAAAATTGATTACATAATTAATTATATTTATCATCTATTCTGTTATACCTGTATATATTTAGTGACCAAATTGTGTTTTGATGATTCGAACTGATTATTTTAATGTGTTCTCAGAGGCCTATCATTTTATATATTTATTTGTTTATTATTATTAATTAAATGAAAATCTAGGTAACTTTTGTTATATGTCTTAGAGCTTACAAATGGTATTCAATTTATATTGTTATTTAAATATACAAATTAATGTTAAAAATTAATTTAAACGCAATTTATTACTTTTTATTCCATTTGTTGAATATATACTATTCTTATTTAATTTGTGTTTTGTAATATTCTTATAAACACAACTACCATTAAAAATAATTGTTTTACTATTATGGTTTTAAATCAAGATTAAAAATGATAAAGTACAAAGCCAAATAATTTAAAAAAAAAATAAAGTATTAAACTTCCATAAAATGTTTTTAATTAATATTTGTAGTATTTAATCATCTTAAGTAAAATAATTGTCCACATACACATTATAATTATAAATTCTAAGGTAATAATTATTTTTTTCCTATATTAATTCATTGATACAAATTATAAATCTTACAATATTTTATACTTGTTATTATTAATTAATATGAAGTCATACAAAAAATTAAAATGTATTGGCAAATTTATTTTTATTTGTTAAACCATTTTACCATTTCATTATTACTAAAAAAAAAAACAAAAAAACAAGAAAATTATTTGAACATTTTTTTCATAATGTGTGTTTACTATACTTTTTACTTAAGTTATATTCAATTTTATTAGAAATAATAGCAATAAAAATAGTTTTAAGTAACCATAATTTTCATTTATATTTTTTGTGTTTATATGTGAGTGCAAATATTTTACTATCAAATGAGCACTGTATAATATTGATATCAAAATTTACATTTATAATTAGCAACTAGTAAAAAAAAAAGAAAAGAAAAAGAATTTACCTTTATTCAAATACATTTAATCAATTGAATTGGTTACAATATTATGTGCTTTTTTGTTTTTTAACTACATATTATACAATAATTGTGTTTAATTTATTATAATTATGTAAATTATTAAAGTAATATCGCATTTACATTATTTATAATAACCATTATTCCATTAATTTTATTTATTGTTCGCTTTTTTCAAACTTTATTGTTGTTATAAAATTGATACTTGAATGATTGTTGAGTAATGTGTGGAGGAGTAAAATATGTATTATATATTTTTGTCATTACATATTAACAGTATATTTGGCAATAATATTTTACCTATGTTTGTGTAATTTGTATTTATTAAACTAAATATACTGACGAATGACTATGTGTTGGTTTATAAACCATGTTAAAATACCTGTAATAAAATATATTTGACATTGAACACCTACCGTTATTGAAACCAATATTCAAGGGACTACATTTTAGGTGGATTTAGTTGCAAGTTTTCCATAACGATTGACCGTACAGTGTTGTGTAGTGTGTACTCAATTAAACATATGATTTAATGATTTAAATTTGAATACAGTAAAAACAGTTATTACTTAATGTAATAGCAGTCAAACATGTACTTAACGTTAACAATATTGAGTACATATATTTGATAAAATCACTTGTTCAGATAGGTATTTTATCAAGTGGGTATATCTCGTATTGTTATGTCAAACAATGTCGTGTTTAATTTAATTGTTTTTATTAGTTTCAAACAGTAATAGCTGATAGTAATGGTAGTTACCATTAGTGCAGCAAATATGAAACAGATAATTCGAACAGCAAACTAATTCTATACCGTAAAAAGAAAAACATGACAGAAAAGTGAAAATTAATTAAAACTGATAAATTACTCGATTAACAGTCAAAATCTAATTCAAGGTAAGCACCACGATTTCATGCTGTTAATTATTTGACCAATATTATTTACGGGAAGTGTGGGTCAAGCAACTTTGAGTCGCTAGTTTTTCTTTCAGTAAAATCACACGTATTTTTGATGATAAAAAAATAATGATTTCTCACTAGTGCAAGCCTTCGAGTTGGAAATAAGTAAATTAATAAATGATTATATATTTAATTATTATGCATACAAATCAAAAACATTTATAACAATTTTTTTCAGTATACTTAATTATACCTTAACCGTAGTATTATATTAAAATCATTAGGTAATTACTTTAAAGATAATCGTATTCTACTGATCATTACTGTTTTGACTTTCAATCACTGAATATTTTGTTCTTTTTCTTCCTTTTGCACTTACGCGTTGACTACTCAAATCGGATCTTTTATTTGTCTTTGATTGACTATAAACATGTGGTAAAAGATGTTCATATATATCATCTTTTATTGCACTTAAATTTTTATCAAAAACATCATTTGCTGGAAGTGTTTCATCTACAACATCTGGCATTTCTGATTCCAATGCCAAGGATTCCAACATTGCCCAATGAAAGTTTATTTTAGGGTTCTTGATCAGTGATGGATAATAATTGATAGGCATACTTTCACATATTTTCATGCCTATTGAGTTTTGTGTACTTGTTGGAAATTCATCGTCTGTTGGTTCTAATGGTTTTACTGGTTTCAAACATTCATTAAATGGCAGAAATATGACATGAAATCCTGATAGTTGGCTTTGAGTATCAGTTTCATCTATAATCTCATCTTGAGGTATAAGAGCACATAAATGAATCTTGCCTCCTTTCCGAATTTTTAAGAAACACATTATATATTTATTTTTTTCCAAACAGCATTCAATAAGAGAATTAAACAAACGTATGTTACCTTCTTCTGCATCATTATTAGGGCGAAGGAAGATGGAAGTCTTAAAATGATATGATATTAAGATATTTTCTTTATTTGTAAAACCAAGTAATCTAATACCAGGTTCTAGGATGCCATTTTTTAGAATTGATAAATCTTCGTTTCTAAATATTATTTTTTTATTTGCTAATACCACATATTTAGCTTGATCAGATTTGTACATCAGTTCATTAGTGTCTATTGTAAATACTTGAGTATTACTAGTCAATGGTTTATTAGTTTTCTTGTCCAGCCTAACTTTTGATGGTATTTTTGCTTTTGAATAAAATCTGTATAATGATGTAGATATACAATAGTTGTTATTAATAAAGAATTTTACTTGGGATACACTTCTACCATGTTTCAATTTGTTACTGATTTCTAACATAATATCATCTATACTTTCTAGTCCTTTGATAGGCTTAGAAATATTGTTAAAGTTCTTAAGAAGACTTTCATAGAAAAGGCTCATGTTAAATCTTGTACCAATGGGTATAAGTTTAAAATCAATATTATTCTTAATAACATCATCAATTCTTGTTCTTAGATGAAATTGCTTTTTAGAATCACCAATTTCAGGTTGATCGTTGCATGTAATGAGCATAATAGTACTACAGCTTTGATTTTCACTAAATTTTTTTATAAGATAGTTACCATACCATATTGCGTCTGATAGTGGTGACAATGGGGATTGACCAGTTTGAATAGGTTTACTTGTTAGAATATCATCAAGCTTTTTAATTAATTCAATGTTAGGTTTCAATGGTTCAGATAACACATTAATATACTTGGGACACTTTCTATTATTATCGTCTGTACCATATATCAATATACCTATTTTATCATTTCTGCTCTCTCTAATAAGCTTCAAAACTACTTTTTTGCAAAGTGTAATACTTGTTGCAAAAAATGTTGTGTTATTATAAGTATTGAACATTGGTTTTGAAGCATCAATTAAAAACATGATATGTTGTTTTACAAACCATATTTGTTTTTCTTCTTCAAAAGATTCACTTTCCCAGACAATTGGAGAATCTGATAAATCTTCCATTTTATTAAGAAAAGTATTACCTAAAAACAAACAAAATAAAAGCTTGAATTAAAAATGTATATTTCAACTATAAATGAAAAAAATGTTAATATCTTATTTTTTTATATAACTAAAAACATTACTGAATCCCTCCCCGAATTTCCAAAAGGGTCTACAGTAATAGTAGGACAAAGATTTAAAAAAATTATTGTTTAAATTATCTTATAGTTAATGGTTAACATTACTCTCATCTGATACAATTATAGTATATTTATATATTATAAATAACTTATGATTTAAAATAATAATAAAATAAACATAAAATGAAATTGAATGTTTGACAAATTCATCTGGTATTTCTGAGAATAACGATATAATTTTCGTTATTTTGCTAAAGCGTTTTGTTCATTTTGTTGTAATATTAACATAAGGAATAATATTTATATGACCGTTTCAAAATTTATGGTGAAAGATGATATTAGAACCAATATAACCTTTAGGTATTATACATGATACCATTGATAAAATATTTAATTTATGATGATACATACCTAATACCTATTAAAATTGTAATACTTCATTGACAAATTTATAGCAATTCAGAAACTATTGATATTTCTTCACATGAAAAAGAAATAGGCTTGAATAGGCTGAACATCAATAAAATATAAAGGATTAAACAATCGGTATGGATCTTGTGAAACTTATTAATCATAAACAATCAGAATACTTAGAGTTTTCATAAATTTCTAACGTTGTTAATTATTAATAACTAATAACTATCAATAAAAATAAATAATAATAGTAAACACTAAACACTTAATAGTTAACACTTTGACTATTATTTCAGTTGATGGTTTTATTATGGAACATTAATTTACTTATTTGATGGTAGGTAGTTGATATTATCACAAATTATTTTGTTTTCATTTACAATTTACCGCCTTTTCTTACACTGATAGAGTTTTTATTTTTTAATCAGTGTAGCCATAATCAGTTGCTTACCAACTATAGGGGGTGGTAGGATTTCGACTGTCCGAGAGACGAGGGAAAAAACATTTTTCGAGTACTTACCTACATACTTGATGACTGTAATACGAATGTCATAATAATAAGTTGACTGTAGACCTAGTAGGAACTAGAGAACTTTAAAAGCTCTCTAGTGGTAGCGGCGACGGCTTCAGGCAGATGTAGTTGGGCAGTAAACACTAAACATAGACCGTATGCCCATTTAATCTTTTTTATAAATGCCTTTCGGCTATGGTATAGTATTATAGTAATGAGAGATATCTTAAACTATACTTCCAGGTGGCATAATATGTACATTCCCACGGTACAACTAGTATAAGGTCTACAACGAATTCGGAATTTAAAAGATGACATGATTTTCATATTCTCATTTATATAGGTACGATATGTCCAACATGTGTGTCTGGGTACGAACACACCTATACACTGCAATAATTGCAGTATAATTATTATACAAATAATAAATTATAAATTTGTATAATTATTATACAAATTAAGGCTTAGACTTGAGACATAATTCTTAACTCGTGTCAATATCCATTAAGAGACAAGGCTGCCCGCATGGGGCGTTGACGGGGAGGGCCCCCCCACTAATTAAGATATTACCTAATTTTTATTGCATTTATTTGCATTTTATATAGCGTCTTGGAGGGCGATAAAGAGGACTGATAACTGATAAGGCGACACTTGCAATATTAAAATAAATAACGATGTGATATAAAAAACAGAATTTATGGTAAGTGTATTATTTTTTGCTGCCAATGAATAATATTCTCTTAGAAATTTCTCATAGTCTATTTACGTATGAAATTATATCGTGTAAAATAGAAACTGTAGTATGGTTATTTGATTGTAAGTCAAAATTTCCATTGAATTCGAACAAAATATCCATTAGTACCAAAGTATTTTTCCCTATACCTTTCGACTTAACGTCGGTACCTACCTATTGACTAAGCACTCATTAAAAATCAACTATAATACGAATGTATGACATTGAAATGTTATTATAATAAATTGATAGTTATAGGTAGTACCACCAAAGCTCAACTAATAGTTTCTATAATACCTTCTTTCAGTTTTTTTTTTTTAACGGTCAGTGTCAAAAATGTTTTCAAGACATTTCAAAATCATTGATTTTAAACTTCCCACGATTTGGAAAACACAATTCTGTCCCTTTTGTCAAAAGTACTAACAGTAAATACACTAATAAATTTATTCGGGACAACGGGAAGTTAAGTTCAAAACTTGGAAATCTGTAAAAAAGGTCTTTTTAAAGACAGTTAAAAGGCAGTTCGCAACCTATCGAATGTTCTTTTAGACCTTAGTGGTATGTAATGTTAAAAAGGTTGTAAAAAATAATTCTATTTGAATACATTTTTGCAAAATAAAGTCGCATGCCCATATCAATCATCATATTATTATTATTATAACTAACGAGATTAAAATGTTTAATAAGTTATTTTAACTTTTGAACGAGTTTATGATTTCAGATTTGGGAACCATTGGTTCTGTTATCAAATATTGTAAGGAGTAGAACTTGCGTCTCTTATCAAAAATAGCAATTTAATTGCCAACTTTGTGCGTGATGCATTTTGTAATCGGAATTAGGAATGACGAATAATTGTTAGTAGGAGCTTAGGGATTAGAATAATATGTTCAATGTTGGTAGATACATGTTCTAAGCTTTCAAATAATTATTATTGAAAACGTCAAACAGCCAAGTCTCAAACGTGTCATTCAGGAAACAGAACAAAACAGCTACTTAGTAACTTTATTGCTTTCCCGGTAACAGGAAATTTCAAGTTCCCGTGTGGTAGGTACGAAATTTGTTCATTGATAAGAACTTTGGAATGTTATTGTTATTTGTTGTTAGTGCCGTTAGTGACTAGTGAGCCGTGACTGTTATGGTTGTCCATTTGGCTCGATAAATGACGTGTGATTGGATACGAATATATGATTGATTTTTTTTTCAAAAGTTCATTATTTACAAAATTAACCGATGAAAAAATAATTTATTCCCGAACTTCTAAGTAAGAAAGACCTAAGTAGATAATTAGAAGTAATCCTATTCATACACCAAATGCTTAACTACCTGAGTTATAGTGTTTGTCTTCTGTGTTAACTGATTTGGTTAGCTAATCATTAAAATTCGGTAAGTTGAAGATAATTTTTTAAAACCATTTAAAAGTAATTGTTTCCAAGACTGGTCGAAGTTGGATACTGAACCCTTTTTAAATTATGTGGTAGAGTTTTTTCAAGAATTTGGAGTAGTCTAACTTTCAATAAATTGCAAAGGATACTGCAAGTTATAATATGGTTATTTTTCTATTGTTTCTGTAGTTTTTAAAGAAAATTAAACAAAAAAATGAACTATTTAATTTAATGTTTCAAAGAGATCATCCATAATTTAAGTAATTAATATTGACCATTTTTGGTCAAATCTAAGCATATCTGAAATCTAAATAATTTTTTGTCAAAACAGTCAAAAAGTGAAAAAAATTTAACACATTTGAATATGTTTATGTTTGTATTTTAGTTGGTATGCAGGATGACAAACAATCTCCTGAACCACCAGTGGAAAATAATGCACCAGTGTTAAAAAATTCCATATCAATAGAACATTTTGTACCAAAAGTTGGATTATTGCATCATAGAGAATCATTGCAATTGATACTATGTAAGCCCAAATTAATGCCATTGAAATCTATGACATTGGAAAAATTACAAAAGATGCAATCCGAAGCAGAAAAAAAATTGTCAAATAGATGATTAGATAAGTTTTAAAATGACTGTGGGAATATTTAGCGCTGAAGTTATATTTGCTTTTATTTTAACTACGGTGATATTAAACCGTTATGGCAATTGGAAAACTCAAAATATTGTTGTTACGATAGCTGTGCTCATTGCTTGGTATTTTTCTCTTTTAATTATCTTTGTTCTTCCCATCGATATATCATTGGTAAGTTCTTAGATTATAATAAATATAATATTTCATTGTGTTATACTTATAGTTGAATTTAAAGAAATATATTTATTCAATTTTTATTTCTATGAGTAACTTAATGAAAATATTAATCTAAATACAAGATACATTTTTATAAAGTACTAGCATTCATGTAATTAATATATGATTATTATCTTAAATTCTAGGCAGCTTATCGTAAGTGTGTTCAAGATGCGTATAACCATTATGATAATATTACAAATTCTAGTCAAGATTCATCAGTTTGTAAGAAACCCTGGAGTTATGTGCCAGAATCTACGTTACCAAACATGTGGAGAGTTGTTTATTGGACTTCCCAATTTCTAACATGGTATGTAATTACATAGAACATATTTAGGTATAGTAAATACTTTATAGGTATGTTAAATATTAAATAATTCAAAATTTTTAAGAAATTCTTATTTTATTTTACAAAATATGTTTGATAAGCACTTAATAAGAGGATACTGCACCCACATGTGTTATCTTTGTCTTACATACATACAACATAGCAAATTTTTGTTTAGCCAAATCCATTTTATCTATTTTATGTTAATTTTTACGATAGAGTATATTTACCTATTATCAAACTCAAAGATAAGAATTTTATCTAGACAATGACATTTTATTGATATTTTAATTTTAAACTGAGTTATAGCTATGTAAAATATTAAAACTTTAAAATGCTCATAACTCACTTTAAAGTTATAATATTAATAAAAGCTTATGTCATTGCCTAGATAAAATTCTTACCTTTGAGTTTGATAATAAGTACATATTTTCTAACATTAAGCTAACATAAAATAGATGTGGCTAAACAAAAATTTACCATGTTGTATGTATGTGAGACAGAGACAACACATGTGGTTGCGGCGTCCTTTTAATAAAATATTCATTGTGAATAAATGTTATTACCAAAGAAATTACTAAACTTTTTATACTTATAATCTTTACCTATTTATTATTAAAAATTAATTAAAAGTATTAAATAATACAATTTAATCAATACTTAAATTTAAACAAATAACATATAGATTGTTATTATTATGTATTATTAAGAAAACAATCTGAGGTATTAGTATAACTTTAAGAGGATTTGTGTATAATATTACTATATTTTGTGCCTCGAGAAAAGGAACCTGTTTAGTGCTTGTAAACTGACTACAGCGACTGTTACAAGGTCTTGTTTCCTTACGTCGGTAGGTTAAATAGGTGGAGGATGTGCAGATTCAAATGCGATTTGGTCGGGTGGGACACAGGTTACTTCTCTCATGGCACAGAATATATTACATATTCTACATATTATAAAAGAAATCTCTAATATTTTTCATTTTTTAGTCAATTTTTTAAAACTAAATAAACTTTTATTAAATCCATTTCAGCAATTATTATTTAAGTATAAAACTTTGCCTAAAAGGGTTTTTATAATATTTAAATTATTCAAAAAAAAAAAAAATAAGTACTGAAAAAGCTTACTTGAAGGTTACTGAAATGAACACCCTTTCAATCAATCTTGTATCATGTTAATTCAATAATTTGATTACATATAAATAATGTAAAGATCATATTTGCTATAGTTTTTATATGCTGTAAAAAAATAACAGCTGATATTACAAAGATTTTCTCTGAATAGTTTTACAAGAGTTAAAAGTAGCATTACTATAACTAGTATAACTAAGTAGAATTACTATTATACAATGTCTTTATTTATACAGAACTCTCTTTTGCTGATAGTCATAGTATTTCTATTTTTTTTTTTTTTATTACTAATTTTATTATATTTTTTGTATAATGTTTATATAGTTATTTAAAAGTATAAATGTTCAGGTTTATTATGCCAGTTATGCAATATTATGTGAAGTCTGGAGAATTTACCTTGAAGGACAAATTGAAAAATGCTATTAAAAGCAATACACTTTATTATAGTACATTATTGTTAATTATTACAATACTTATAATTTACATTGCTCTTAAGCCAGGAGTGCATTTAGATTGGTAAGTTTAAAATCTTTGTGCAAATGTCAAATATTATAGAACAATAAATAACATTAGTATTTAAATTATTACAAAAATAATAAGCATTTAAATAGTTACCAAGTATTATAGTATAATTTAAAAATATAAGGTTATGAAAATATTTTAATTTAAAAGCATTAATAATTTAAATTTGTTGTATGATAAATTACATTTTTTTTATTAATCATGATAATTAATAAAATTATTATTTAAAATACTACATAAATTGTTGATTATAAAACCAATGCAACTTTTCACATCTGTCTAATAAAGAGAAAATAGATATTAATATTATAAAAAGCTAAAATATGTCTTTATTTTTATTGAAATTAGTAAAAAAAAAATCAAAATAGGTAATAATTGCCTAGTATAAAAATAAATAATAATGTAAAAAAAAAATGATAAATATAGCTTAGTATAAGATCATGTATTTATCACTTACCTAATTCTTCAAACGATGTAAACTATATATTCAGACATTCATTCATTACACATGAGATTTTAAATTGTAAAATGGCAACAATTTGGTTTCAGCATCTATATTTGTAATTATTTCTTTAACTTTTTTTAAAATTTTCAAAATATTATTGAGTGTTTACTAACTATGTGTCTCATTAAGTTAAAATTTGTTCTGGAAGTCAATTGAGTTCTTAGTTTATTTCTTTGAATTTTAAAACTTGATATGGAATTTAAAAATATACTTTCTTAACTATTATTATTTGGTCAACACCAGGGTAATTTGATTTTACTGTTTCTTCTTACCACTACATTTAAAATAATTAAAATATGTATTTATTTACTGAGTATATTAAGTAAACTTGAGTTTATTTCAACAACAATGATTTAAATTTTATACTTGTTTTTTATCTGATTAAAAATATTTCATTCCAATAAAATATGCTATTTTCTTATAAATATTTAAATATCCATTTTACTAACAATGAAATCCCTGAAAATGTTTTAATTTAATTTTAACACAAAAAAAGTTAACTATTATAAGCTATCAGACCATTTATTTGAAGCCTTAAAACAAAAATAATAAACACAAGATTTTCAATATTTTAGAAAATTTATTTTTTTATTAATTATTATTGATATTAAAATATTATTTTTATTTTTTTTAGGCAAAAATTAAAAGCTATTGCATCATCTGCTAGCAATACATGGGGATTGTTTCTATTAATATTATTATTAGGTATTGCATTAGTGGATATTCCAAGAGAATTATGGCGGTCTAGTCAAATTGATTATACATTGAAAAAAGTATATTTCAAATTGTCAAAACTTAATACAGAAAAGTTAGAATCCGAAGGAGCTTTAGAAGATGTTCTCGAAGTACTTATCTCCTATATATTATATTGTTTTGTAAAAAATTTTAAAATAAGAAAAACAAACTAAAATTTGGAATTCTTACATTAGTCAATTAAAAGTGTGAGTATCAATATGAGTCCAAATGATACGTTGTATGATTGTTTCCAAATTATTTTGAAAAAAGTTCCTGAGGATCAACAAGATTTTTTGAAAAATGTGCGGTCAAATTCAAGGAATCATACAACACCTCCTTCAATTGGCATGCTAACTCGACTTCATAAACAAGTAATATAAAAAAAAATATATTATATTAAAAAAAAAAATAATGATCATTATAATAATAAAGAAAATGATATTAATAAGCTTAATACAAGTTAAGTTTTGTGAAAATCAATAGCCTAATGTTTTGATCAAATGATGTAGACAATGCTAGACCTAATTTGCTTGGACACCATCGTAAGTTATTGATTGGCTGAGTTGATATTAACTGATTTTGAATCAGTTGTAATTTTCCTGGATTTGTTATCTTGTCTCCATCAGATTCAGTTTTATATCTATCTTCAGGATACATATATTTCCATAAGTATATGGAGCCGTTTCCTCCAGTAGTAGTAAAAATTTCTCGATTCTGTGGTAGATGTCTTACTGTCCAAATGGTATGTTTGTGCACATTATTTTTTATGTAACCAAAACCTTTTGTAGGGTGTTGAACTTTAATATCAAACACATAAAAATGTGATTCTATTGTTGTGACTACTAATTTATTCATTTTAATATCTCTTCTATCAAATTCTAAACTACAAACTCCATTTGATACATTAGTTTCCCAGCGTAATGCCATTGCTCTTAAGTCTAACATTTTTATGTCGCCATTATCGTAACCAGCACAAACAATTCGTTCTTCTGAATTGTAAGCATTTCCAAATGCCACAGTCCAACAATCTCTCTTTGTAGCACCAATAGCAGTTTCCATTTTTGCCACTGGTAATTTTTCTCTTGGATCCCATATTTTTACTGAACCGTCCTTTCCACCTTAAACGGTTATTTTTATTTTTCAGAAAATAGATAATTTAAGTAAATAATAAACAATAAATGTAATAAGTCTATTTTAACGTTAATACCTGTCACTAATTCTGGAGCTCCGCACCCAATTCCAAGTCCACCAATACCATCAATGCAATATATAAGGCCTTGATGAGCTTTTACTGAATAGAGCGACTTAGCTGAATACTCTAAGTCCACAATCTCTAAGTTACCTTCAAAGTTTCCAACTGCCAAGTGTTTTTTATTGATAGAACTTGACTGAAACGTAGCACATTCAATGGCAACTGATTTTTCATATTCTTGAACAGTTTCAATGCCATTTTCATCTAACCCATAAATGTTTATAACACCTTTCAAGTTTGGTTTGCCACCAACTGCTGTGAACTTAGCTGAATTGTGAATCCATTGACAATCTTTTAACTGATAGTTAACAGACTTCTCCCTGTGAATAATAATTTGAGATTTGCTTAATTTGTCCATTTTTTAAGTTTCTGACTTAT